GAGGAGGAGGAAGAGGAAGAGGAAGAGGAAAGAAGAAGAAGAAGAAGAAGAAGAAGAAGAAGAAGAGGAAGAAGGAAGAAGGAAGAAGGAAGAAGGAAGAAGAAGAAGAAGAAGAAGAAGAAGAAGAAGAAGAAGAAGAAGAAGAAGAATTCATGGAAAGCATGAACTTTGATCTTGGCCTTGAAGAATGGAGAAGATTAGGTGAGAGCAACCATTTCAGGCAGGGATAATGATTATTGGTAAAGGCAGAGAATTGGGAACAGTGTGGACAGAGCCAGGTTGCCCGATAGAGCAGTGGACACTGGCCTGGTTAGAGCAGAAATGTGTGCGGACAAGATATGGAAGATAAGGGTGTTTAAATGCAAAGAGACCCAAATAGAAAAAAAAAGAAAAAAGAAAAAACCTGAGGAGTGTCTTAAATAGTAATTGCTAACATTTATCTGGCGCTTACGATGTTCTAGGTTCTTTTCCATGTGCTGTAGGCACATAAACTCTTTTAATGCTCACAACAAATCTATGGAGTGTTACTTTGGTGCCCATTTTACAGACTGGGAAGCTGAGACCCAGGGAGATTATCTCACCAGAGATCTCGTGGTTGACCAACACAGACCTGGGGTTCAAATGTGGGCAGCTGCAGCCACCGAGGTTTAGACAGGGGTTGGCCCAAGCTGCCTCTGTCCTCTACAAAGGTATGACGTGCCAGCAGCCGGGTTCTGGGGGCCTCACATTAAGAAAACATGCAAGAGAGACCCCAGGATTCTAGTTTTGAGCTTGCCAGAAGGATGCTGCTCATCCAGGAGTGAGAGATCTGAGCAGAGAAGACGGATGGAGCAGGACCTGCCTGAGGCCTGACCAGGAGAGCTCGGGGCAGCTGTGGCCTGAAGCCAGGCAGCCACGGGTCTGCACGGTTGCACTCCGACTTTCCTGTCTACTTGCAAGTCTCAACATCTATCCGGGTGGTTTTAATAAAGTGAGATGAACTAAGCGACATTTGTAGCCCCACGTTTGATACGTAGGGAGATGGCCTCGTGTGTGGACGCCCTTCACAGGGGTTTGGAGGACAAGGCTGGACCACGATCCTGGCTGCGGTCTGGGAGGGTGAGGCACAGGTACCCCGAAGCTCCCCAGGTCAAAGGCTTGCAGGGGACAGACCGAGGGGGTGCGGGGGAGACTCCCAGGACTCAGGGACCCGATTCCCTCTTGCAGCTGCGTGGCTCTGCATAAAGGGCTTTCCCCTGCCTCCAGGGCTGGTTCCCCAATAGTTAAGGCTCTGGAACCTTCCTACCCCAAATCAGCTTCCTGTATGCACTGTTTTTGACAAACTCCTAGATCCAGGATGGCTGGAATCTGCTGCTTCACACTTACTGTGCATTTCCTATTTGCTAGAACTCTGAGGTCCCCATCTCCGGGGCTGGCAGCAGCCACTTGTCCCCAAGAGAGAGAGGAGATGCTCAGGAATCACAGAACATTGCATTAGACACCGAGGAAGAGGTCCCCTCTCCAGTTCTCCTGCTGAAGCATCTCCCTTCGGTGTCAGACCCTAGCACTGTGCTTCTGCCCTGGCCACCCGCTTAGGACAAGCAACAGCTGGGAGATCACATGGTCGGTCTGTGCCATTTGCTTATGGCAAAAAATTCCAATTTTCCCTTTTCGAGCAGTGAAACTCTAAGATTACCCTCCAATAAACATATTTTTGAAGGGGAAGAGGGAGTCCACTTAAAGATAAAATGAGGTTAAGTCATTGTCCGCGGGGAATGGAGATCTGAAAAAAATCTCGTCAAATTTGGACTCAGATGACCGAGGTCTAGAAGATGTGGCTACAGCGAGGGTTCGTCCCCCGCAGGAGGCAGAGGCTGAGGTTTAAATGCCAGCCATGCTAATTAGCACCTAAGAGGCCCTCTTTGAGCCTCCATTTCTTCACCTGTCAAAATGAAGACAGTAATTCCGACCGCATGTGGTTGTTTTGAGGATTAAATGAGATAATTTGATGTCTATGTCATTTGCATGTAATGACTCTTTGGTGTCAAGGGAAATGAACTTTTTTTTTTCCAGTGTGCACTTCATAATAAAAGTCACTTTATACTAAAAATCACCGTGTGAGGGTGCATATGAGTTCCTCAGCCCATAATAATAATAATAAAAATCTGGACATGTGGTCAAATCTGGACCTGTCCCGTATCTTTCTTCCTCCAGTTTCTTAATTGGTCATCGAGAATATTACTAACACTGTCCCCATGGGGATACTGGGGATCAACTGATTTGACACATGTGGGGCACTAGATGGCTCTACCAGGGAACTGTCATCTCCTAGGTCGGTGACCCTGCCTCCTGCTGCCGTTGGAGTCCTACACGGGAAAGATCTTTGAAGGGCAGCGTGCTGGGTGTGTACCTAAATGCTCTAGGAAGTCATTGTTGGCAGAGGGGACATATTCTCATACTGTCTAATGTCAAAAATTCAAAATATTCAGCTCTCCTTCCCCTCTGTGTCCCCAGAGACTTCAGAACCTGCAAGAAGTGGTCTCCTTCCTTCCCGCCACGTAGAATAATTTCCGTTTGGTTTTTATTGTCCTGCATCCGTGCTTGGCTATGGCCTGAAGCAGGTCTCTGTCTCCCTGCACCCTCAAATTCCTAGGTTGAAGCCTCAACCTCCAGTATGGTGATATTGGAAGGGGGGTGCTTTGGGAGTTCATGAGGGTCAGATGAGGTCACTGAGGGTGGGCGCCCCATGATGGCATGAGTGGCTTTTTAAGAAGAAGAGAGAACATTCTCTTCTCACTTCGTGAGGCCACAGCAGGAAGGCAGATGCCCACAAGCCAGCAGGAAGCCCCTCCCTGGCACAAGATCCGCTGGATCCTTGATCTTGAACTTCCGGCTTCCACAAGTGTGAAAAGCCAATGTGCATTGCTTAAGCACTGAGTCTACACTACTGTGTGATAGTGGTAGGAACTGACTAACAATACAACGCTTAGCCTGACTGAAATCCATCTAAACATTTAAGAACACACATTGGTCATCTGTAGCGTGCTCATGGTTTTATCTGTAGCATTTTATTCAAGCCTCAAAACGCTGTGGGGGAGAGAAGGATTATCACATTCCATTTTACAGATCAAGTCTGGGACTGGAGCTCGGGTGACTCGCCCGAGGTCCTAGAGCTACTGTGTGCCACAGTGAGACCTCAGATGCCACCGTTCCCACGACCCCGGAGGACACCCTGACTCTGACATCTACAGGGAACACCTTGCTGGCCTCGTGGGAGGCAGAGAGGATCCTTCCTATGGAGGCTGGAGCGGGACTGAATGAAATTCAGCTTCCAAGAGGGAGATGAACCCCGGGGGTGGGGGTGGCAGGTGAGTGAGCTCCTGTGGGAAGCACCCAGGGAAAAAGAAATCAAAATAAAAAGGAAAAAAAACAAAAACAAAAACAAAAAAAACCACCCCAGCTCGTTGATTACGACAAGGCAAAACCTTTAATAACGTGAGTGCTTATTACATTAGCTGCTTCGGACTCCGACATCTTTGATTTCCGGTCATGTTATTGTTATTATTATTTTTTTCTAACACTTAAAGGTGAATGCCTCCCTCAGGGCCACCTGGGCGGTGGTGGGTTTCCTGAGGATCTGTGTTGGGTGGACAAATGGGGACAGCTACGCCGGCACCTGATGGGGGATTTGCAGATCCCCCCCCCTCCCCTCTGGCCACCACCCTGTGACTTTTGAGAAAGTCCTCTCCCAAGGAGGGAAGAACAGTGGAGGAAGGAAGGAAGGACAGAAGGACATGTGGGCACAGATACACAGAGGGGAGGGAGGGAGGGAGGGACGACAGGAAGGGATTCGCTTGGGGAGGTTGGGAATGGAAAGGTGGGGGCCCTGTGGGGATGGGGTGGGGGGACCCCCGTGGGACAGGGCGGAGTCCATTTGGTTTTCATTTCTTTGTGAGAAGTAAGAACCATCACGAGGACCATGCCATGCAACCTTGGAGACGTCTGTGGACACTGCGCCCCCGCAGGCGGTGCTGGGCGCGGCCAGCGGTCCGGGCCAGCGGCGTGCGCTCACACGGGCGTGCGCTCACACGGGCGTGGTGCGCCTGTTGGCCGGGTTGTTGTGCAGCGACTCTTTGAACTCTTTGGGCGTGGAATTGTGGAACTGTAGAAAAGCGTGGTCCCGGTCCGAGTTGAGGAGGGTCCCCATGGTGATCTTGGAGGGGTCCCGGGACAGGGTGAACATGGAGATGTCGGTGGAGGGGATGGTGTGGAAGCCTTTGCTGATGGGGGACAGGTCTCGGGAGCGCGGCTCGGTGGAGCGGGAGCTGGACCTCCTCCGGAACCTGTACCTGTAGGGCGGGAGGCGGCCGAAGGTGGACTTCTTGAGGAGCTCCGAGTGCGATTTGGCGCGCAGCTGCTGGTGTTTCTCGATGTAGATGTGCACGGCCACCACGCCCACGATCTCGGCGATGATGAAGGAGAAGGCGCCGAAGTAGAAGGACCAGCCGTACGAGTAGCTTTTCTTGGAGTCACGCTGCCCGGGGTCTCCAGCGTTGGCTGATATATAAACGATGATGCCAATGATGTTGCTTAAGCCTGAGGGGGAAAAAAATGGAAAAGAAAAAAAAGACACACACACACACGGGTTGCATAAACCCTCCAAGGTCAAGGACACTTTCGGTCTTGGAATATGGTTGGAAAATGCAGAATTAAGGTGGGGAGGGGAAGAGACTTGGATAAT